ACACAGCGGGGACCTTTGGGGATTGCCTCTCCTCTCTCTGCCAATTCCCCTCGAACTTCTGCAAGCTGTGAGTGTCAGCATCCCCCTCCATCTTGCCATGCTCCATACATGTCCAGCAGTATCTGTTAGCCACATATCTGCTGGAGGAGAGGCAGAAGGCTGCTTGAGATTCGGACTCAGCCCCAGCATGAACACTGCTTGGTGTGCATATCTTTAAGAGGACATCTCCCTGATGGGAGAGACAAATCATGAAAAGTTGCAATGTGAAGACAGGCCCTAGTCAGGCTTCCTCTGAACTGGTTTCTGAGCAAAGGGAGGGCACTAGACATCCCACCCAGACCTTCCTTGTGCTTAGGAGGGGGTTAAACCTGGAGAACACACAAGCTCTGGGGATGGCCTAGTTCAGAGGACAACAAGTTGTTTGCAGGACCTCCATGGCTCCTTTCCAGAACCTGTGTGAGGCCTTCAGGTCCACCAGGTGCTCAGCACCTCCCCAGCCTCTCCCCATGTTCCAGTGTGAGGCCTTCAGGTCCACCAGGTACTCAGCACCTCCCCAGCCTCTCCTCATGTTCCAGTGTGAGGCCTTCAGGTCCACCAGGTACTCAGCCCCTCCCCAGCCTCTCCCCATGTTCCAGTGTGAGGCCTTCAGGTCCACCAGGTGCTCAGCACCTCCCCAGCCTCTCCCCATGTTCCAGTGTGAGGCCTTCAGGTCCACCAGGTACTCAGCACCTCCCCAGCCTCTCCCCATGGTCCAGTGTGAGGCCTTCAGGTCCACCAGGTACTCAGCACCTCCCCAGCCTCTCCCCATGGTCCAGTGTGAGGCCTTCAGGCCCAACTTGGGGGCAGGGCCCTGTGCAGTTTAAGAAGGATGTAAGGAAACAAAATGTAGCCCTGGATCTCAGGAAATATAACACCCAGCCCAGCAGACACAGGGGACTCTTGCCTACTCGGGAGATCTGGTAGTGTTGCCGTGCACACAGTGTTGGCCCCCCAGCTGAGGGTAGCAGTGCTGTGAGCCCCCTTTTACGGACAGGGAAGTTTGGGGATAATCTGTGAAGAACAGTTACATTCACACGGGATTGCTTAAGAGAATGAGGGTAATGTGGTGGTTGCTGCAGTCCATGGATGAATGAAGGCACCGTCTGTGTGGCTCTCCACACAGTGCTCCTGTTTGTGGGTCAGCCAGTGTCTACCACTACATCTGCCACGCTGCTCGCCTGGGGCACCTGGGCTCGGAGTGCTGGGCACTCTCCACCAGCTAGCTCACTGCCAGAAGGTGCACAGTGGGGGGTGTGCTCCTCTGCCTGTCCACCCTCCTCTGCCAAGGTGGAGCCCAAGCTCCAGCGAGGGTCCCCAAAGTCACCCCACGCAAGAAGATGGGCTTTAGGCTTCTGGGGACTTCTTGTGGCTACCTCTGAGCTTTCCCCCCTTTCCTCTCACTGTTGCAGAAGCACCAGCCTCAACCACCCGGCAGTGAGTGTGGGTTGCGTATCACACAGCAGGGCTACTTACCCCAGAGCCAGAACCACCAGAGAGCCCTGTTCTGTTTGGGGCACATTTCCCAAACTGTCAGCCTTTTACCTCCCCCTGGAGAGAGACAGAGAAGGGAGTCCAGGTCTGCCATCTGCTGCTTCCAGAAGCAAAGGCACCTGCCAGGGATCACGCTTTCCCATGGCTGGAGTGTGCGGTGCAGTCGCTTGTCTGCAGGGAGTGTCCTGGCACAGCTGAGCCACTGGCGGTGTCCCCAGGTGCAGAGCCTCAGGATCTCCCAAAGTTTCCTCTCCACCCTCCAACAGCCAGCCTAACCAAAGACTCCAGTGAACTGCCCACCTTCTCAGTTGGTGTGATCAAACCATGGCACCCATGCAGGAGCCAAGTTGAGATGGCCAGAGCTCTCTGGATACAGCCGAGGGCAAGACTGAGGGTGCTGAAGAGGACGCCATGAGACCACAGGTGCCTCGACTTCGTCTCACAGAGCTGGGGCTGCACCTGGCAGCTGCATGGCAGGCATGGGCAGCTGGGCTCCTGCCCACGGGTTCTGTTGTGGCACCTCAGCTGCCATGGGCTTGCTACTTGATTCAGTTTATGGCAACCTGCGGTCACCCTTCTACATCTGTTTGGCTTGTCAGGAGCTGGACTGGTGACTTAAGGAATCCCTTGGGCTTTTCACGATAATATTGAGCTCTGTCCTCCAGCACGCAATATGGCTTTTTATTTTCCATGTTGCCACCCCACCTGGTTTTCCCGACTGGGATGGCTCTTAGCCCATAGGCCAAGGACCAATGGGGGTGTTCTGAAAACCACCGAAGACATCCACACAAACTGTACATTCAGTACAAAGGGAGTGATCCTGGATCTGTGGCCTCACTATGAGCCAGTTCTGGCCAGGCTAACTTGATTCCCGAGTCTCACATGTTTCCACTTTGAGGCACAGTCTCTGGCTCCTTAGTGGTGATGTGGTCTAACCCTGAGTACAACAGTCCTCAACATAGCTGTGTCTCCTTTCCCTGGTAAGTGGCCACAGGTCCTTTGAACATCTCACATACACATTTGTGGCAGGTACTGTCTTGGGACACAGTCTCTCCTCCATTTGGTGGGCTCTGGAAGTTGGACAGGGACGACTTTCTTTAGTCTCCTGATTTCAATACTTGATTTCTTTTGGCTTTATGAACAAGTCTCTTCCTGGCTGACTCCCCATCCTGCAGTCTGTTTGGATAACTGTCTCTGCAGCTCTTTGCAACTGGGTCCCTCAGCCACCCTCCAGCCTCAGCGCTCATGACAGTAACTGCAGCCACCTCTGGTGGCAGTTCATCACCACTTGGCCTCTGTCAGTTCCCTGTCCGACAAACCCCACTGCGTCAGGAAGCCCAGTTCTGTGAGGGAACCTCTGAGGGGACAGCACCCTGAGCGTCTCACTAGTGTCCTCTGGACTTCCCTTGAAACCTGGTCGGCCTGGGTTCTGATCTTGTGGAGAGTGCTTACTCTGGTGTGCAGCTTCTCCAAGCACTGTGGGACCTGCCTCTGCTCTCTGCTGGACAGCCTGGCGCTTGACTGAATGAGAGACATTGCTTTCTAAAACTGCAAGAGGCCATCCAGCAGACTGGGGGTGCCTATGAGGACACTGGTCCCCTGTCCTGAGCAAATCTCCATGGCAATGAAGTGACCCTTCAGACCGTGTTCTGTGGCTGCCTCAAGCTCCTGCTGCAGTGTTCTGGCAGAGCCTGTCAAGCTCCCTCGTCAGCACTTGTCCAGCTGACAGGTGATGCTGACCTGGTAGAGGGGATACCGGTGGACTGCACGCATGTCCATACTTGAAGAGGTTTCAGGGGTCTGCTGGCACAGAGCCACTACTTGCTTTTAACAGGGAGTGGTAAGATCTCTTCAGGCCTGGCCACTTTGGAGGTATCTGGGATACCAGATTTTTTGAGTGATTAGTTCGGATGACCCCACCCCAGACCTCAGGGTCTACCTTCTTCCCATCCAGGGTCCTGACTTTGGTGGGCTGAATATCGATCCTTTCTGGCCAGCTGTCTCTATGATTCTCGGTCTTTCAGTTCTCAGGCTGCAGGAGACCAGTGTCTTCCCATGGACCAGGAGACCCCTTTATGTGAAGCCACAATGCCACAGTCCAGATAAGCACTGTTTCCCCAGCCTCTGCTGTTTCTTCCACAAGGATCCAGCTCACAGCACTGCAGCCTGCCTGCGTGGGGTGGTCACGCATGCCCAGCATGCCTGCTGAAGGGTGGTCCTTGTTGCTGGTGGGGCAGCAGGCCACCCTGCAGCATGGCCCACAACAGTGGCTGTTCCCCAGGCTTCCTACCTCAGGATGTGCTCCCCTGCACACAGACTCTGAAGCAGAGATCCGTGTGCAAAACCTTTGGGAACATTTCTGTAAGCTAGTGGGCAGGGGAGTAGCTGAACTCACAACCTCAGCTCAGGAGTAAATGGTGGAGCATCTGTCCTAGAGGAAGGGGTGTGGATGGACACCACAGCATCAGTTGTAGAAACTACCAAGGCCCTGAGTGAGATGCCTAAGCGCTGGAGCAGCGGCCAAGGAGACACTTCTCTCAACTTCCAAGTTAAACTACGGGTACACATCCTGTTTGAAGGTCTTGCCGGGACTCTTCAGACAAGCCAGTGAGGAGAGGTCGTGGGTAGACAACAAAGGGGCAAGTAAGGCCGTTCTGCAGGGTGCGGAGGTCCACTTGGACCCCACCTTTCTTCTACCAGAGCCAATCATCGGCTTGTACCTCGTGATCTCTAGGTGGTCATTTCTGGATAATGTTTTAGTACTCGAGGTTGGGCCAGATGAAATCTTTTCCTTTATATTTTTATGTCTGAATTTTGCTTTTTAAAATATTTTTTATTTGTAGTTGGAAACAATACCTTTATTCTATTTATTTATTTTTATGTGGTGCTGAGGATCGAACTGAGGGCCTTGCATGTGCTAGACAAGCGCTCTACTGGTGAGCCACAACCCCAGCCCTTGAATTTTGCTTTTTAAATCTCAAAAACGACTTAGTCCCACGGAACCTAGCGTTATACATAGACTGGCACATGCGACCTTCCCTTTGTCTCCCGAGCCTGGAGGAGCCTGACGAGCGGGGACCCTTGCTTGGTAGACATCGGACTTCGGAAGCGCGTCCGGATGCTTGGGCCGACCCGCGGGGCTCGGGTCTGGGCCGAGGCCGCTCCTGGAGTCGTGGTCCAGGTTCCGAGCCAGGCCAGTCTCCATCACCGAGAACGCCGCGCAGTCGGTCCCCCCAGATCCCGCCTCTGAGGCCGACCCCGCCCCTCGTCGAGGCTCCGCCAGTGGAAAAATAAATCTGGGTTGTGGGTGGAGCAGTTTCCTCCCCATCCGTTTGGGGCTCCGACCAATGAGAAGAGGGGGCAGGACAGAGGGCGGAGCCTCTGGCCCCCGCCCCCTCTCTCGGCCAATGGGCGGGATCGTAGGCGGGGCCGGACGGGAAGGGCGTGGCAGGCAGGGAGCGCGGACCAGCAGCCCCACTGGGGCACAGCCGCCTAGATCCTCCGCTTGGGCTAGGTCCTCTTGTTCTCGGGTCTCCCAGGCTCCGCCGTCTGGATCTGCGGTTCGAACTCTGGCTGCCCCTGCCCGCTGCGGCAGCACTGCCCTGGGCCTGGCGCGCGCTTCGGGAGAGGCTCTGCGGGCTCCCGCGTGTGACGGGCGCGGGCACGCAGCATGGCGGTGGAGGAAGAGGGGCTCCGGGTCTTCCAGAGCGTGAGGATCAAGATTGGTGAGTGCCCGCGCGGCCGGCGCGGGGCGGGATCCCTGTGGCCAGCCAGAAGTGTCCTCCCGGCCCGGCGCCCTCTGGGCGCTACCGGAGACCCAGGCGGCCGTCTCCTCAAAGACGCCCTTCTAGCCCGGGGCCAGGCTGGGCCAGACCAAGTTGGGCCCACGGCTCCGCGGGACCAGCTCCCGGTGCTGTTCTGCGCCCTAGTGGTCCTGGGTCTCCGAAGCAGCTGACGGAAGATCCGGCACCGCGCATCTGTCTGGATGTGCTTGAGTGTGCATGCATGGGGGGCCTGCCTGCGTGTGTCTTGGGTGCAGGAGTGCGCGTGGGGTCTGCTTGCGTGTATCTGTGTGTGCAGGAGTGCGCGCAGGGTCTGTCAACGTTTGTCGTTTGTCCGTCCGTTCAGCAGAATGCGCGCGCGCGGGGTTTTGTGTGCGTCTCTGTTTGCTTGCTTGTGTACACGCATGTGGGTCTGTCCTGATGCTTCCCTGTTAGGGGTCAAATCTGCCGATATCAGAATCTCCGCATCTCACCACAGCGGCTGTTCACAGAAACTTCCTTGCAGTGGGGTGTGAACACTCCTCCACCCTTTCCCCAGGGGTTGCTGGCAGGAAGGGTGGCAGGCTGGTGCGTGGGCACAGGACTCTGTGTGTCTGTGTGCTCCGTGTGCCGTTTGGAGCCTCTGGCAGAGGGTTGCCAGGCGGGAGTCACAGGAGCCACCAGCACCTCCTCCTTCCATTGAGAACTGACCGTGGGAGCTTTGGCCAGCAGGCCGGCCATTCAGGCGCTTACCCCACCCCCATGAGGCCTGACTCTGGGCCATCAGAGCTGGGGGAAGGGAAGGGAAGCAGACTCTGAAGTGGGCTGGGGAAAGCGTTTTTCAGGGAAAAGGGATAGGATTTCCTGGTTTTATCAGGAAGGGTTTGCTTTTCCCAGTGTTTTGCTTTCAAGGTGAAATGGGAGTTTGCCCCTAGATTAGGGTCTTGTTCTGGGGACCATTACCTGTGTACCAAGGCCATTCAGGAGCTGAGTGTGGTTTACCTTGGAGAGGAATTCTGGGACTTCCAGGGCTATGGCCTTTCTCCCCCACTGAACCCACTCCACATCCTAGCCTGTTCCCCTGTGAGAAGGGCCTAGGCACTGCAGCACCCAGCAGCTGATGGGGTGTCAGCTGTTGATGACATTTGATGCTGCCCCAGGGATTCCAGCGACCCAGTCAGCGTGTTGTTTCCTGTCAGCTTTATTTTGGTTTTTGAATCATTGCTGAGACAGTTTTGTCTCTGGCTCAGAAGTCCTGCAGAGCTTTGAGCAGTGTCCACTCATGTGGTTGGAATATGCTTTCAGTTTCCACTGTTCTCTACCGGAGGTGCCTCAAGTGTGCCCTCCCTGCCAGAGCAGGTGAAGGCCTCTCCCTTAAGGGTGGGTTTGCTGTGGTTCCCTTCAGCCCAGGTTCCAGTCTGTGAAGGCAGGGATGCAGGAGGGGCCTTGGAGTAGGTAAGTCTGAGAAGGAGCCAGGCCCTCAGACTGGGTGCTCAGCACCCGGTCTAGCCCAGCCCTAGCCACTGTGCACAGAAGGAAGTGTTTGTGGCTGAATTAAAGAGGATTCATTTCTTTGCAGAATGGCAAAGACAGGAGGTCAAGGAAATCCCTGAATGTCAAAGACAGAGCTTCACTGGTCTGCCTGCCAGAGACTGCAGACCATACTTGGTGTTGGGAAGGGTCTGTCCCTCAGTGAGAAGCCTACCTGGGAGGAAGCAGCTTTGAGGAAGCTGCCCCAGAAGGTTGTTCTCCTCCTCTTTGGTGTCCCACGTTGAATGAGCACGTGAAACGCCAGTGGCTGGAGCTCTTGTCTTTAATTGGGAAATGGGCAGTGCTGAACTTCTGGGGAGAGGATAATGAGGATGGACAGAGGTGCCCGAGCTCCAGCTGCTCCCTGCCAGTGTGCTCTGGCTCCAAGAGGCCCATTTCTGTCTCCTCATTCTTAAGGGCCCTCAGCTACAGGGCTGGTGCAGGAGAGGCACCTGGGCCCCTTCTGTGCACACAGGAGAGGCACTTGGGCCCCCTTTGTGTGCATATGTGAAGGGGTGTTGCCCAGTTAAAGAGGCTGGCTGAAGCCTACAGCGACTGTGGGTGAGCTAGGTTGGAGTTTAGTGGTGTCCAGCTGTCCTGCTAGCCGAATGCTGCCGGGTCCTGGGGAAAGCTGTTAGTGGAACAGGAGCAAAGAGGACCTTCGGCATGCCCTGGGGGTGCTGAGCTCCTGGGCTTCTTTGTACAACCTCCACTGTGGCCACTCCCTGGCTTGCCCAGACCAAGTGTGTGGGGTCGTGACACTGCAGTTGCACTTATGTCTCCCTGCCTCTCTCTCTATTTCTATCTCTGTCTCCCTGTCTTTCTCTGTCTCTGTCTCTCACACACTCACTCCTTCTCCAGGCAAGCTGGCTTCCTGCCTGTGACTTGTGGGATGACCAAGGGCAAGCGTCTTCCCCTTAGTAGCCTCATTTCCCTTCTGCAGGAGGCGGGCAGTTGTCTGCTGTATCCGGTGGGAATTCACAAGGCAGTGTTTGTCAGGCTTCCTAACACTCCCCACCTCCACCCCCAAAAAGGACAGAAGAAAACTGTTTCTAAAATTGCACAAATATACATGATTACCACTACTGTTGCTGAGGAAAAAAGGCAGAACATTTCTGAAGGGTGGGGAGCTTTTTTTTTGGCATGGACCTTGGCCTCTGTGGTTCTTAGTTTTGGAGCATGTGACAGTACTTGGTCTCATTCAGAGGCTAATGTTGGGGAAAATGGAAAGACTCTCCTTTCCCCTTCCTCTTTCTTGTTCCTTCTGCATCTTGCAGAGGGATGATGTAGAAGGAAGAGCCAAATGGAAGTTAAGTATTTTATTGTAGCCATTTTGTTCTTGTCTTGGAGAATCTGTCTCTTTCCATTTCAATTAGGATTCGGTACACTTAGAATGTTAAGCACCCGTGTCTCTGGTAACAATTCCTGCTTTGTTACGGCAGTGCCTCTGCCACTTCCTTGAGGTCACTATGTTGAGGAAGTGTGTAGCTGAGCTCTCCAGAGTTGGGACTGGTCAATGGTGGCAGCTACAGGGACAGCTTCTCTGCTGGGCAGTGATGCCTGGGCCCAGTGCTCCCTGGCTTTGTATGGTAGCTTCGCTGCCCAAAACTTTCCTTTTACATAATATTTACTACTTGTTTTAAAAAGTGCCATCTTGTCTTGATAAACATTCAGTGAAAAACAATACACAAACGTGTTTCCATTGAGCCACAAATAAAAATTTAAAATCCTAGCCATTCCAGGATGAGAAATCCCTCTCCCTTCACAGAGGTGCAGGCAGAGCCAGGTCTGTGTGGGGCACATGGGTCCTGGGAAGCTGGGCTCTGCCTTGGTCTTTGCTGCTGGGCTTCCTTTGAATCTCTGGCCACTCCTGTCTTTCTCCCTGGACCTTGGTGCTCCAAGGGTTCTCCTGCTCTTTGCTGGAAGATTGGAAGCAGGGCACAGGCAATCTGAACTCAAACCCCACAGCTCCACCCATTCAACTAAATGTGGCCATGGCAGACAGCTGGTGCTGTGGCAGGAGCTGTGGTCAGGGCTGGTTTGCCTCCAACTGGCACTCTCCCTTGCCTGGCGACAAACCAGATCTCACCAGAAGCAGGAGGGACCCAGTGAGAGGAGAACTGCATGGGGGTGGTCAGGCAGAATGACAAGTGGGGGCAGGGAATCCTCGCCCTGGCCTCGGAGCTGCAGGTGGTGCCCCAAGCCATTGGCTGGACGCTCAGGGCTTCTAGATCCAGCTCTGCCTGAAGTAAGGCAGATGGCATACTGGATCAGACTTGCTCCTCCACCGGGGCAGAAACACACCATTCCAGGGTCCTCGCGGGGGTTAGAACTGCCCATGGCCCTGAGGGAGGGACCAGGTATGTTGGGATAGGTTTTGTAGCAGCATCTTCATGCAGCCAGACTGGGCTCAAGGAGAGGTATTTTGTAATAATAATAGTAATACTGGAGGCTCCCCGAGTGCCTGAGTGTAAGGTGGTATCATGCTAGCCACCCGGTCCCTGGTGTCAGGGATTTTAGAGTCTCTTGAGCTCTCTGATGCTAAAATTAACTTGGCTATTCCATTAACCGAGCTCGACTAAGCTGCCCATGCTATTTTTAACTGCCGAGGACTGTGTATGACTGAGCTGTACCTGCGGAAGCTGCAGGGGGTTAGGGCCAGGGTGTCTTTGGCCTGTGGCTGCAGGTTTTGCCTGGGAAGAGGTTGGGTTTACTGTGGGTTTCAGGTGGTAGAGATTTAAAGTGACTCGTATATACCACCTCATCTGTTGAGGTCCTCAAAACTTCACAACATTGAAATAAGCTGCCCAAAGATGCTGCCCTTGGGAGCTGAGACCAGGTCTGTGTGTCTTGGCGTCCTCCTGTTGACAGCATCGGTATAGTGGGCTGCTTACTTTGTGTGTGATCTTGGATTTGAAAGGGGGCAGAGAAGGGTGGGAAAGGACAAGTGGTGACTGCAGAATCAAGACAGATAGCAGTTGGAGGGCCAGGGGGCCGCTGGCCCTTGAATGTGGATAGCAGGTGGAGAGCTGGCTGTGAGATCTGGGACAGCCTCAGACCAACCTGTGCAGGGAGCTGGAGGGAGAGGTGATTCTTGAGTAGGGCCACTGGCCACCCAGCCAGCCAGCCCTCAGGTTCAGGTAGAGGCCTTGAGGTGATCTGTGGACATTCTCATGTAACTGGAGTAGAGCATTTGCAGGGGACAATTTGATTAGGGTCTCTGGAGCTGGTGAGGCATTTGAAACCACACATGGGAATAAACTGCATCAGAGCTGTCAAACATCAGGTATCAGGGCAGCATGTAGTGCTCTAAACAGACATAATGTGTTCAGAAGGGAGATGCGAGTGTGGGCTGCACACTGCCTGAAGGCAGTGGGAGGTGCTGCTTTTGTTCACAGATGTAGAGTGTCCTTAGAGGTGCCATGTGGCTCATG